ATGGGTGTGTCAGAGGCAGTGCGGTTGGCGCAGGATAGAGCAGGGTTTAGGGCTGTTGTGCATAGGGTCGCTATGAGGCGAAAACGACTCGACGGCACATAACAACAACAACAACAACAACAACAACTGACAAACTAGTTCAGTGAGTGACCCATCAATGGTTGCAGCAATTCTCATGTCATAAATTACACTGACCTTCCTTTAGCTCTAGGTTCAGAAATGTGAGGTACAATAATTCAGTTGTGAAATGCATTTTAATTTGGGATGACTGGTGCTTTATAAATCAAACAAACAACACAACATTGTGTTCTTATTGAGCCAGACAAATAGGAGTGCAGTTAATATAACTTGAGGATAATTTTTCTTTCAGTTGTTAAATCTTAAAATCCTTACTTGAGAATATATGGAAGGTTGAGGACGTTTTATATATCTTCAAAAGTATGATAAAATTATTGTATTTTTTTTCTCTTGTTCTTACTGAGAGGACATAATTAGTATATAAGGTTTTGTGTGCAATGTTATTTCTACACTTACTCAGAAATGCTTTTAATGTGTTTGTACTTTATCTCTTGTGGTTGGGGAATGCAGATATTTTTCCTAATTTGTTCTTGTAATGTGATTAATATATTTTTAATAACTGACTAATATAGAGATAACTCATTGCCATCAAGTTGGTACCAATTTATAGCTGATCCTCAAAGCCTGTAAATGACACGGGAGATTACTCATCTTTCCTCTTTAGAGTGGCTGGTGGATTCACACTGCAGAGATGTGGCCTCCAGGTTAGCTGTGCAGTTTGCTACAGACTACACCAGGGATTGTTGTTAGGGGCTGTTGAGCGGAACACTTCTCATAGCAACCCTCTGAACAAAGATCCAAACCCTGCTATTCTGCGCCATTCTCACTTCCTGAGCATAAGAGCCCATGGCAACAGTCATTGTGTCAGTCCACCTGGTTGAGGGTCTTCTTCTCCTTCGCTGACCCTCTACTCTTCCCAGCATCATGTCCTTTCCCAAGGAATAGCACTTCCTAGCAACCTGTCCAAAGAGCACTCCGGCTGCACCCTCTCCAAGACATACCTGTTCGTTCTCTTGGCCATCCATGAAATGTTCAGTGCTCTTCTCCAGCACCACAGCTCAAAAGGTGTCAATTATTTTTCTGTAATCTTTATTCATTTTCCAGCTTTCAGATACATAACTAGTAATGGGAAAGACTATGCACCTTAGTCCTCAAACTGACATCATTCCTCTGTAATTTGGAAAGGTCCCTAACTGAAGATTTTCCCAGTGCAATGCGTCTCTTTATTTTCTGACTGCTGGTCCTAAAGGTTTTAATTATGAATCCAAGCAAGATGAAGCTGTTGACAGTTTCAGTCTCCTCTCCATCCATCATGACAAGGGTGTTGTTATTGTTGATTACTGTTGAGTCAAGCATGACTCATAGCGACCCGTTTCTCTACATAGAGTTTCCAGAGGTATGTTGTTTAGGAAGTGGATGTCACTCCTGCTTCCACACCTGTCTTATTCTGGGGACTCCACCAAACATTGTCCACCATGGGTAAACCTTATGGCATTTGACAAGACCAGTGGCATTGGATTCAGCATCACAGCAACTGCAGGTTACCTCAGTATAGCAAATTGACAGACCAGTGTTGTACTACTTAGAAGAATGTTCCTCCAGGATATAATAACACCAGGCTCAAGGGCCTGTGGCTCAGGGACCCAGCTGACTTAAATACAGAGGCCCTTCTCAGGTCATGTTGACTCTAACCAAATAAGAGGCTTAAAGAGAAAAAACAACCAAACATCCCACACAGACAAGGATAGGAAATGTAAATTTTTGAAAATGTATTTTGAAGAGGAATTATTTTGCAAATTATTGGCTTTCTTTCTCTACTTTGGGAGAAAACACCAGGGTTTGATTTTGATTTTGGTGGGGTTTTTTTTGTTGTTCTTGTGGGTTTTTTTTTCTCCAACGTTAAGTCTGTAAGGATGATGAATGCCATTAGTTGTTGTCTTAACTCACAGACTAGGTCTAAGGGGAATTTAGCTCTAAGTCAAAACAATTTCAGAACAATCTCTATGAACTTGGACATGATTTGCTTAAAACTCTGGGCCTTTCTCACTTTTATCCTACCAAGTGATCTTTCTGGTTCTATTATTGTACGATCTTTCTGTAGTTTTAGCCCAAACTTCTGTCACAGAAAGTCAGTTCTCCAGTTCACTGATTTCCCCCCACCCCCACCTCATCTCTCTTGTAAATACTGGACTTCATGCTTGTGTATAGTCATATAGTCTGCAGTCATATAGTATTCAATTGCTAGATTTGTTTTGACAGATAGACCTATCTTGTAGATTTTTCTGTTGTGGTAAAAATATATTTGCAAATTCTGCATTTTTCAGATTAACAATTTAATGATACCAGGTGTATTATTTGTATCCTAAAGATACTGATTCTGAAAGGCCAATGAAAATTATCTCATTCTTTCTATCCTGTTTATTTTGTTGCAGGTTACTTTTTCCTCCTTTGAAAGTTGCTTTAAGTTATAAAAGGAATACAAATTTGTGGTAAAGAAAAAAATTGAGCAATACTTGAATGTCAGAAAAAGGTTTATTAATTTAATAACCTTCTGTGTCAGTACATATGTTTCTCATTCTTTTTAAAGAAGATTTGAAGCCCTCACTGCAGAAGATCAAAGACTTCATTATGGATGGTATCTCAATAGCAATAGCAAGAAAACAAAAATTCTCACCACTGGACCAAGAGTCAACATCGTGATAAATGGAGAAAAAATTGAAGTAGTCAATGATTTCCTTTAACTTGGATCCACAGTCAACACCCACCATAGCAAAAATCAAGAAATCAAAAGACATATTACTTTCGGTAAATCTGTTGTCAAGGACTTTTTCAAAGGGTTAAAAGAGCAGGGATATTTAAAAAAAAAAGTAGGGATATCCATTTAAAAACTGAAGGCCAGCTGATCCAAGCCATGACATTTTCAATTGCTTCCTATGCATCTAAAAGTTGAATAATGAATAAGGAAGATTAAAGAAGAATTGATGCATTTGAATTGTATTGGAGAAGAGTATTGAATAAACCATGGACTTCTGAAAGGAACAAACAGATCTGCCTTGAACGAAGTGCAGCAAGGTGTCATCTTAGAGCAAGAGAGTGAAACTTCACATTGCTTACTTCAGGCATGTTTTCAGGAGGAACCAATTCTTAAAGACTTGCTGGGAAAGTTAGAGAGTCATCAAAAGAGACAAAGACCCTCACTGAATGCATTGATACAGTCACTAGAACAGTGAGCTTGAGCATGACAGAGATGCAGGATAGGGCAGGGTTCAGCTCTATTGTTGCAGTGAGTCATAATCGGCTTGATGACACCCAACAACAGCATACTGTATTTCATTATATAGATGTATTATAAACAGCTCACTCTTGCTGGACATTTAAGCTAATTTTTAATATTTACTGCAGTATATAATTCTACTATGAATATTGTTAGACATTTATCCCAGAGCTCTTGTATTCCTATATGTTAGGGTACTAGAAGTAGAATTTTTGGGTCAAAGGTACAAGTATTTTAAATTTAATTATACTTCCCAGCTTGTTCTATATATATTATTGCTACATGTGAAAAGAGTATTACCCATCATTAAAATTTTTGTCCATTTGATAAATTAAAAGATAAAATTTTACTGTTTCAGTTTGTATTTCCAGATGAAGAGTAAAAGTAGAATATTTTATTATTAGCCATTTACATTTCTCCACTGACAAAGTATAGATTTTTCTTTTTGGTAGCCTTTTTATTGCTTTGTTGCTATTCTTTGCATGTTAGGGCTGTGGATCCTTTTTTGTTTATAGATTTTATAAATATTTTCTGTCAGAGTGTTTGCTTTATAACTTTGTGATTCTGCAGCGTCTTGAGATCATTTGTCATATCAAAACTTTAGTGTGGGTCAAACTACTTGTTATTATTAACTTGTTTAGTTGAAAGTCTTGATGCAAGTTACTGTAGTTGAATCAATCTTGAAACACTTCATTCATTTCATTAATTTATCATTGGTGCTTGTCTCTCTGCCACTTTCCCACAGAAAGAGGAGTATGTTTGCCTACAGTGTCCTTGTGGATACTCTTTGTTTATATTGAAGCAGCAATTAGATTTAAAGACCTCAAAAATTTTCATGTAGACCTTTGTCGTCCATTTGCTGCTCACTGGTGAGTTTTATTTGTAATCTTGATCTGTAATGAATTTCAGTGTTTAAATAGAAAATGCTAAATTCAACAATTTTTTTTTTCTCCAAGATTTTACATGAGCCCAGAAAGCAGCATAGCATGGAGGTAAAAAGCATCAGTCCTCTATTTAAGCAGATGAGTCCCAACTCTGACTCCTTGCCTTTGCCATGCCACCTTCTTAAAGCCTCAGTTTTGTGTTATTGAGGGCTTGTTTATATTGGCCATAGAAAAAGATGATATATGTAGCCATAGATGATATACAAGATAATATGTGTAAAGTATTTAACTTACTGGCAGGCACATAATGGTCCTTGATAAATGTTAGCTTTTTTTATTATAGTGCAATACTGATTCCAAAATGTCTTGATGAAATATAATAGCTGTTTCATAAAGTATAAATGAACCAAGAATTTTCTTAGCTATTTAAAAAAATATGAGGGTGTTGTAAATAATTTTTTAAAGGCTATTGTTTTACTTTGTGAAATAGAAATTAATATTAAATGAATACTCATTTAACTTTAACCACAAAACATTTTATAAAAATACTTTGATTCTTGTTTATATTGATTGTGGAAATCAACACCTAATGAATGTTTTGTTGTTTTTAAACACAGTACTTTTTACTAATATTTTTGGCAGAAACCAAAACAGAAAAGATTCAACTAGAATTAGACTATTTCTAATATTTTAAAACTCTTTTTACAAATAAGTAAATTGCATAAACCTGGTCAGTAAAACTTGTCATATTAAATTTGTAGAGCGAGTACATTTAGGCTAATTATAATTGGTATATTTTAATGTTAATGAAGCTTAAGATGGGTTTTGACAGTGTCTGTAGAGGCTTTGAAAAGATTAGATAGGCTGATAAATTGAATAAAAATTATTCCAGACATTAGAATTCTAAGTATCACTAGTTTAATTTTGTGGTACAGACCAAATGTTGGCAGTGACAATTATTAGATCCTTATTTAAATGATTCCTGAATTCATGCATGACAGTGTTATGAACTAATTTCCCAAGAATAGCTGGTGACAGCACCCCTTAGGCAGCAAGAAGACTAAATTAATACAGTCACTTAAATGTGACCCTGCCTTCTAGTATTAAAACTAAATTATGTCCTTTTGATTTTTTAAAAACTTAAGTTTATTTGTAGGAGCCTTGGTGGCACTGTGTGTGAAATCTCTGCCCTGTTAGTTTTTAGAAGTATAAAGATGCCCAAGTTTTAACACACAAGGCAGTTCTGTATTTTAAGGCAAAATCTCTTTCTGAGTCACTGTTGTGACCCTTTGAGTTAGTTTGAAGTGCACCGCAGTCTGAATGGAAGTTTGTTCTTTCTTGTGGTCCTAGCAGTCTCATCATTCCTGGAGATTTTTTTTCTATATGCCAGTTGCCTCTCATTTCTTAGTGGATATTGTCTTTATTTATGTGTTAATTAAATGTTATCTTCAGCTGCCATCATCAAGTGGGTTTAATTTTCATTTGTAATGGTAAGCATCCTTATGTGCTTGACACGTGGGTGGTTCGTTTTTAGCTTAAATTACTAGCCCCCTTTTTTTTCTTTTGTTTTTTCCAAGTATCGGGTACCCAGTGGTGACATTGGGCTTTGGCTTCAAAAGTTATGTAAGCTACAAAATGAGGCTAAGGAAACAAAAGGAAGTTCAGAAAGAGAATGAATTTTACATGCAGCTTCTTCAGCAAGCCCTCCCTCCAGAACAGCAGATGCTACAGAAGCAAGAGAAAGAGGCTGAAGAAGGTAAGTCTTTACTCTAAAACTGCTGGCTCTGTAGGCTCCTCTTATTTTTGTCTGTAGACTTTTCTTTTTTGGAAAGTTCCTGTGACTTTGGAAGATTAATAAGGATTTTCCTGTTCTGTGGAGTTCCTTCTTAGAGCCATTGCTTTATTTGGTCACATTTCATGTAGAATAGGTGATATTTTCTATTTACTGTCTAAAGATCACGTGCTTTTAAAATATGTTAATTTTTAGTGTTCTGTTTGTAATGGATAGTTAAAAAGACATATCAGCAGCAAGATAACATAGAAGTATATGATTATGTAGTTGAAGCAAGCCAAAAAACAAAATATAAGCATAGTGGACATATGGACATGTAAAATTGAGATTCAAGAGTTGCAATTTTTCTGAATAGAGCAAAGATGGAGCTCTCTCCTATGCTAAATGGTTCATATAATGAAACAGATTTTAAAGTGAACCATATCTGAGGGAGCCTCATTTATTGGCATTTAATGAATAGAAATAGATGGCTTCAAACCAGTTAAAAAGAAAGCAGTTTTCTTTGGTTCGGTTGTTGGAAGTTTGGGATCATGTTTTAAAATGATCCAAAATGGTATTCTCTGATATCGTGAAAAATACAAGTAAACTTTTACAGGTAGAGAAGTGTAGACCTGATACAGAAAATTCTTTACAAGTGGCCTGGGTAAATGATACAGGCTTTACTACTTCAGCACACAGGTCAAGAGGGATAAACATCCCACTTCTTATTTTATATCATGTAACCTTTTTCTTTTCAGTGAACTTGTTACTAGCAGTTTGTTTAATTTTGGCCCTTTGAAAGTATGGCCTCTTTGAACAATGTTTGTGCCCCTTCCCCCTAGAGGTAGACAGGTTTGATTTGATTGATAGGTAAAGTACAGCTTAATTAAAACCATTCTGATCTCATTTTTGAAGGCCAGACTTAGTGGTTGGTGTTTTTAGATGGTGGCAGTTTTCCAAATACAGAGCTTCTCAAATGTATTTGAATTTGCTTTTTGATGTTAGTGTACTGTGCTGTGGTTATTGCTTCTAATGAGTTTGCAAATTATAGTGAGTTTCTAAGCATAAACAACTGTAGTTTGTTTATATTTTTAAAACCTAAATAATTTTGGTATGGGTTGGTTTTTTTTTGTTTTTTTTTTTTGTCTGTTTCTTGGTTTGTTTTTGGTGTTGTAGCAGCCAAAGGATTACCTGATATGGATTCCTCGATCCTTATACACCACAATGGTGGTATCCCAGCCAACAAAAAACTCTCTACAACATTGCCAGAGATAGAATACAGAGAAAAAGGGAAAGAAAAGGACAAGGACGCCAAAAGACACAACCTTGGCATAAATAACAACAATATTTTACAACCAGTAGACTCTAAAATACAAGAAATTGAGTATATGGAGAACCATATCAATAGTAAAAGATTAAATAATGATCTTGTGGGAAGTACAGAAAATCTCTTGAAAGAGGACTCATGCACTGCTTCCTCAAAAAATTACAAAAATGCCAGTGGAGTTGTGAACTCCTCACCTCGAAGTCATAGCGCCACAAATGGGAGCATTCCTTCCTCATCTAGTAAAAATGAGAAGAAGCAGAAATGCACTAGCAAGAGCCCAAGTACACACAAGGACTTAATGGAAAACTGTATTCCTAATAACCAGCTGAGCAAACCGGATGCACTGGTAAGGTAAGTGTATGCACTGTGTTCTTACTAAGATTTTCCAATAAACTTGACATAAGTCTTGAAAAGAAAACACTCTGTAGGGGCCAGTAGGTATTGTTTGTGATCGGTTAATGTGCCTCTTCACCCTGCAGTGTCTTACACCCTGGTGTTTGCTGACTGCCTCTGGAGTTGGTTGCCCTGCAGTGTAGACTCCAGCACATTTCCTCCCAGCTTTTCTAGTGTTGCAAATAAGAGATAACAGTGATTACTTAGCACATTGACTTGATTCCAGGGCCCCGAAGCAGGTTTGCAGCAGTCCAGTTGGGGTGAATGGACACAAGATACAGTGTCAGCATTGCTTAACTTGTGCTTTGGATTTTGGCCTGAGTAGGAAATGGCATTGGTATTCCATTCAAAGATGGCAGCCAAATGCATTGCTCTGAATGGTGGGTTCAAGCCACCAACTTTTCCGTGAGTAGCTGAGCCCTTTAACCACTGCTCAGTCAAAATCTGGACAGTACCCTTCTTTCCATGGACCATGACCTGTTTTGAATTGGACCTAAGCCCTGCCTGTTCCCCTACTGGTACTGAGGGTTACTTTAGTCCTGTCTTTCTGTTTGCATATCCAAAGTTCTTTTGGCACTGGCACAAAAAGAAAGGTTTATGACCTTTTCATGCAAACCCCTCCTATTTGTCAGTCAGATTCAAAGTTTTTAACACCTTATGATTGTATTTTATTTTTTGTAGAGTGTGAATTATCTGTAGATAATGCTGTGCAGGTTGATTTTGAAAATTTTTTTTTCTAAAATTCCATAGACAAATACAGTGTCCTGTCATTATAAAACTAGTAAAAAAATGTTCTTTTTCTCATCTTTACTTGGAATAATATTATTGTATTACTTTGCCTGGCTCAGAATGTGATTTATATGATGTATATTAGATGAACACAAATACGTTCCTTTTACCTCAGATATTTCTACCTGGAAGCTGTAGTCTCAGATAGAACTTTTCTTTATATGTATAACTCTGAAGGGTAGTTAAAATTCACTTGCTCTAGTAAGTTACATGGTAACTTCTGTCCTTGTTTAAAGACAGTTTATTCTGGGAGGGAGGGTTTACAATGCTCTAAATGGCAAGAACTAGGACTCTATTATTAGTTTGTTCAGTTTCTTGATTGGCATCTAGATTAAGGGAAATATATTTGTGTTCTACCGCCAACGACTCCACAGGTCTTCCTAGCCCCCAGGTCATTTTTGGAAGCATAACATGGTGTTGCTGAGGCTAGCCTGGCATTCACGGCTGTTTGTTATGGCGTTCTGCCTATCACGCCCTGCAGAGAAAACACTCAGCAGACGGCTCCCTTCCAGATGCCCATGGGAAAAAGACCAACTGAGCTGACCTTCTGTTTCAAAGGGAATATCCTAGAAATCTACTAAGACCTGGTATAAATGAAAACATAGCTTCCATGTGCTTCTTAAATTCTTTCTCTTACATAGTTTTAATTACATTGAAGCCAAAGCTATGTTCTTTATGGATTGTTTCAGAGAGAGCAGTGTAAAGTCAGTCTTGGGCCCCATTTGTTCTGATTAGTAGAAGATTGACCCTCCAACCAGTTCAGTCTGTAGTAGAGAAGTTCAGAGACCCTGATTGCCTGTTGTCCAGTAAACTGGGAGTGATTACACAGGTAGCATCCCTGTGCCTGCTCCAGGGAGATCTCCCTTTTCCTGCTGTTACTAATATGTACTCTATATTGACTTTAGGTTAGAGAGTCCAGGATATTAGTCTGTGTTGTCTATGTTAGGAACTACTTGCTGACAACTAAATAAACACACAATATTTTTAAATCATCTTATAAGCTTACATGTTGTTGTTAGATGCCATAAAGTAGACTGTGACTCACAGTGACCCTGTGTACGTTAGTGCTGAACCTTGCCCTGTCCTGAGCCAGTCTCACTGTCTCCAACACACTCAGCATTCAATCCATTTCCTCCTGGATCTTCCTCTCTTACGTGGTCCCTCTACCCTTCCAAGAATGATGTCCTTCACCAAGGACTGGTCCCTTCTGGCTTCATGCCAAAAGTATGTGAAAAAGAGCCTCTAAATCCTAGCCTCCAAGGAGCAACTTGGCTTCACTCTCTCTGGGACAAATCTGTTTGTTCTTTTGGCAGTCCATAATATGTATGTTCAGAACTTCTCCACCACCACAACTCAAAGGCATCAATTCTTCATTCATCATCCTTATTCATTGTCCAGCTGTCTGATGCATAGAAAATAATTGCGAAAATCATGGCCTGGATGAGGTGCACCTTAGTCTTTAGACTGACATTGTTGCTCTATAACACTCTGGAAGGGCCCTGACAGATTTTCATAATGTAATTGTCTTTTGATTTCCTGACTTGTGGTTGCCAAGGGTGTTTCTCATCTGATTATTTTAAACTTTTAATGTAATATTGGCCTTGAATATAGCAGTGATGTAAGGATGTGCAAGACTAGGCATTTTTTTTCATCTGTAAGATTGCTATTGATAGGAACTTGAGAGTACCTTACACCACCACCAAAGTGATAACTATTTAAAAAAATAAAATGAACAAAATATCCATCGTTGTTGTTGTGATTATGTGCCATCAGATTACCTGCAACCCATAGAGACCCTGTGTAACAGCCCTAAAGCCTGTTCTATCCTGTGCCAATTTTAATGTCTCAGACACACCTATCCTCATTACCCCAGTCATCAATCAATCTCATCTAGGCTCTTTCTCTCTTGCGCTGTCCCTCCACCCTCCCAAGCATGACGTCTCTCTCCAAAGACTGGTCCTACCTTGCAGCATGTCCAGGGTATGTCAGATGAAGCTTCAGAATCCTTGCCTCCAAGGAGCAGCCTGGTCTCGCTCTGTCTAGTAAAAACATGTTTATTCTCCTAGCAGTTCTCTTTTCCAGCACCACAGCTCAAAAGCATCAATTCTCTATCATCTCTAGTCATTGTCCGGTTTTGTGGTGCATAGCAAGTTAATTGCAAAGACTAGGGCCTAGATCAGGTGCACCTTAGTCTCCAGACTGACATCATTGCTCTTCAGTACTTTGGAGAGATCTTTGACCGCAGACTTTAAATGCAATTCATCTTTTAATTTCCTGGCTGCTGGTACTAAGAGTGTTGATTGTGGAGCCAAGCAAACTAAAGCTGTTAACAATCTCTCTTTTCACTATCTGTCATAGTGCTGCCAATTGGCCCAGTGGTGAGAATCTTTGTTTTCTTGTTGTTGAGCTTCGTATTGAAGGCTGCAGTCCTTGACCTTATTAGCAAGCACTCCAGGTCCTCCTCAGTTTCAGAAAGCAGGGTTGTGTCATCTGCATAATGCAGGCAGGTGTTTGGAATCACAGAAGCCCAGGCAGGTTGAGATAATAAGCCATCACATCAACGGCTGGATGGGGGAGATAGGTAGAGTAGGAAGGGAATGCTGGTGAAGCAGGGAAAGGGGTGGGTCAAGACACATGTCAGGGGCAGGGACAACACTGAATCTGTTGGTTATTGCTACATTTGGGAAATAACTTCTCACCTGCTCTTTTCTGTAAAATACTTGTCTGTCAGATAATGTTCTAAATCTTAGTATTCAAATTAAGACAGACTAAAAAGTAGTAATGGTCATCCACTTCTGAAATAGCAGGCCTTCAAAAACCCTGTGTACAATCCAGTGTTGGAGGGAATAATATAAACATTTCTTTTATCTTCACTCACTTGATGAACTCCTAATATGTACAGACATTACAAAGTCACACTAAAATGTTACATTTTCATTACAAAGATATTGCACAGCCTTATTAAACAGAACTGGAAAGTCTTCATGATATGTTTCATGAAGAAGGCAGAAAGTAATTAAAATATTTTTTTCTTCTATTATACACTGAAAAAGAATTTGCAGGAAAACATACCAAAGTGTGGCATTTTATCCTTTTTTTGTGCTTTCATACATATTTAAATGTTTCTCTGATGAACAACAATGGAACAATTTTAAATGAAGGTATCTATCTGAGTGCATGTCCAGCTTGGTTTAGGAGGCCTTATCTCACTTCCTCTTGCCCTTCTTGGCTATCGCATCTGTTTCCTCTTGCTTGGCATCATATAAGTTTTGATGAATGTTATTAAGACTAATCCAAACGGAACATCTTTGAATCATGAGTTAGAAACAGGGTTTGCTGTCTTCAGAGGGAGAGGTCTGGACCTAGGGGTCTCTAAGACACCTTTGCATGCAAATGTACACGGGTTGCTAGTATATACATGCACCCTTTGCTTTTGCAGGCACAGTCAGGGTTTTACATAGTTACAGGCTGGCTGTATAATTCCCATGGGGATGTTTTTAGGTTAAAATTGACCCATCATTTTTATGTAGTGATAGAAAAGATTAGAGAACTATATTGAGGTTGTTAACAATTTCAGTTTGCACAGCTTCACACTCTTAGAACCAGCAGTCAGGAAATTAGAAGATGAATTGCATTAGGAAAATCTGCTGTCAGGGACCTCTCCAGAGTACTCAGAAGTAACAGTGTCAGTCTAGAGACAAAGGTGTGCCTGACCAAGGCCATCGTCTTCACAATTACTTGCTATGCATCAGAGAGCTGCACAGTTGACTAAGGATGACAGAAGAATTGATGCCGTTGAGTTGTGGTACTAGAGAAGAGTCTTGAACATACCAAGGACTGCCAAGAAAACAAATAAGTCTGTCCTGGAGGGGGTGAAACCGAGTTTCTCCTTGGAGACTAGGATTTTGAAAATCTGTTTTACATACTTTGGGCATATGGCCAGAAGGGACTGGTCCTTGGAGAAGGATATCGTGCTTGGAAGGGTTGAGGGACAGCGTGGGAGAGGAAGACCCCAGATGAAATGGATTGATCCAGTAACTCTGGCAGTGGTGGTAGGTGTGTCAGTGTTAGACTGGCTCAGGACATGGCAGGCTTCAGTGCTGTTGTACATAGGGTTGCTGTGAGTCGCAGGCATTTCAACAGCACCTAACAGCAACACCTATATTATT